GGACTGGTCCGACCATGATGCAGGATCACATCAGGACTTCCATATCACGATAGGACTGGTCCGACCATGATGCAGGATCACATCAGGACTTCATATCACGATAGGACTGGTCCGACCATGATGCAGGATCACATCAGGACTTCTACATCACAATATGACTGATATGACCATGATACAGGATCACTCAGGACTTCTACATCACAATACGACTGATATGACCATGATACAGGATCACTTCAGGACTTCTATATCACAATACGACTGATATGACCATGATACAGGATCACTCAGGACTTCTATATCACAATATGCTGATATGACCATGATACAGGATCACTTCAGGACTTCTATATCACAATACGACTGATATGACCTATGATACAGGATCACTTCAGGACTTCTATTCTATATCACAATATGACTGATATGACCATGATACAGGATCACTTCAGGACTTCTATATCACAATATGACTGATATGACCTATGATACAGGATCACTTCAGGACTTCTATATCATGATACAACTGGTCCAATCCAAGACTTCTATATCAAGACACTACTGAACCAATCATGACACAGGACTTCTAGATCATGATATGACTGATCCGATCCAGCACTTCTATATCATGACAGCACTAATCCAACCATGATACAGGATCACTTCAGGACTTCTAAATCATGATAGAGGCCAGAGAGAGGTGCTCCAGACTAAGTGCAGTAAAAATGGTAACTGTTTATTGCACACAAGATATTTAAAAACTCACAAGATGTGGGTAAAAATCAGGCATCAGGATGTAGATATAGGACGTCACCTAGGTGGACATCTGGAGCGGATGGCTGAGGTACCAGGGGCCAAAAGCTCCCTCAGTGGCTGTTGCTCTGGAGTGGGTCTCAGTGGAGGAGCGAGGAAGGCAGGCGATTGTCCTGGGAGTCGTGGTGCAGGGAAGGAACCGTGCTCTGGAACCGTCACATCAGCGCACCTCTCTCTCCTCAGAGTTCCGGTTTACTCCAGAGATTGCAGCCTCACGTCGGGGTTTATATTGCAGCTATATATTTTTATATATACAGAATTTTATATCCCCCCTTCCTGCCCATTACTACCTGAACTATAAGACTCCTCCACCTTTTGTACTACGCAAGCTGCAATACCCTTCCTATACTATATATATTTCTCACACCCCCCCCCCCCCCCGATGTACGAAGAGAACGGAGAAGCCCCCCCCCCCCCGGTGTACGGAGAAGCCCCCCCCCCCCGGTGTACGGAGAAGCCCCCCCCCCCCCGGTGTACGGAGAAGCCCCCCCCCCCCCCCCCCCGGTGTACGGAGAAGCCGTGCTCTCCTATAACAAACATTTTTACACACCTCTAAAAACTCTCTACAGTCCGCATACCGACTACTACCTCTCCTGCGCCAATACGGACTTCTGCAATGTCTACTCATGATAGGACTGGTCCGACCATGATACAGGATCACATCAGGACTTCTGATATCACGATAGGACTGGTCCGCCCATGATGCAGGATCACATCAGGACTTCCATATCACGATAGGACTGGTCCGCACCATGATGCAGGATCACATCAGGACTTCCATATCACGATAGGACTGGTCCGCCCATGATGCAGGATCACATCAGGACTTCCATATCACGATAGGACTGGTCCGACCATGATACAGGATCACATCAGGACTTCCATATCACGATAGGACTGGTCCGCCCATGATGCAGGATCACATCAGGACTTCCATATCACGATAGGACTGGTCCGCCCATGATGCAGGATCACATCAGGACTTCCATATATCGATAGGACTGGTCCGCCCATGATACAGGATCACATCAGGACTTCCATATCACGATAGGACTGGTCCGCCCATGATGCAGGATCACATCAGGACTTCCATATCACGATAGGACTGGTCCGCCCATGATACAGGATCACATCAGGACTTCCATATGACGATAGGACTGGTCCGCCCATGATACAGGATCACATCAGGACTTCCATATCACGATAGGACTGGTCCGCCCATGATACAGGATCACATCAGGACTTCCATATCACGATAGGACTGGTTCCGCCCATGATGCAGGAATCACATCCAGGACTTCCATATCACGATAGGACTGGTCCGACATGATGCAGGATCTCACAGGACTTCCATATTGATAGGACTGGTCCCGCCCATGATGCAGGATCACATCAGGACTTCCATATCACGATAGGACTGGTCCGCCCATGATGCAGGATCACATCAGGACTTCCATATCAGGATTGGATAGGACTGGTCCGCCCATGATACAGGATCACATCAGGACTTCCATATCACGATAGGACTGGTCCGCCCATGATGACATCAGGATCACATCAGGACTTCCATGATCAGACAATAGGGACTTCCATATCACGATAGGACTGGTCCGCCCATGATGATACAGGATCACATCTGGTCCGGACTTCCATATCACGATAGGACTGGTCCGCCCATGATACAGGATCACATCAGGACTTCGTATATCACGATAGGACTGGTCCGCCCATGATACAGGATCACATCAGGATTTCCGTATGATGATAGGACTGGTCCGCCCATGATGCAGGATCCATCAGGACTTCCATATCACGATAGGACTGGTCCCCCCTCCATGATACAGGATCACATCAGGATTTTTCCATATCACGATAGGACTGGTCCGCCCATGATACAGGATCACATCAGGACTTCCATATCACGATAGGACTGGTCCGCCCATGATACAGGATCACATCAGGACTTCCATATCACGATAGGACTGGTCCACCCATGATACAGGATCACATCAGGACTCTATATCATATCGACTGGTCCATCCTGATAGGATCAGGACTTCCATATCATGATAGGACTGGTCCGACCATGATACAGGATCACTTTAGGACATCTATATCCTGATACAACTGGTTCGATCCAGGACTTCTAGATCAGGATAGGACTGATCCGATCCAGGACTTCTAGATCAAGACACTACTGATCAGACCATGGCACAGGACTTCTATATCACAATAGGACTGATATGACCATGATATCGAATCACTTCAAGACTTGTATATCACGATAGGACTGGTCCGACCCGGGACCCCTATATCACGATAGGACTGTTCGACCCGAGGCCCCTATATCACGATAGGACTGGTCCGACCGGGGCCCCTATATCACGATAGGACTGGTCCGACCCGGGGCCCCTATATCACGATAGGACTGGTCCGACCCGGGGCCCCTATATCACGATAGGACTGGTCCGACCCGGGGCCCCTATATCACGATAGGACTGGTCCAACCCGGGGCCCCTATATCACGATAGGACTGGTCCAACCCGGGCCCCTATATCACGATAGGACTGGTCCGACCCGGGGCCCCTATATCACGATAGGACTGGTCCGACCCGGGGCCCCTAGATCACGATAGGACTGGTCCAACCTGGGGCCCCTAGATCACGATAGGACTGGTCCGACCCAGGACCCCTAGATCACGATAGGACTGATCCGACCCGGGGCCCTATATCACGATTGGACTGGTCCGACCCGGGACCCCTATATCATGATAGGACTGGTCTGACCCGGGGCCTTTAAATCACGATAGGACTGGTCCAACCCGGGGACCCCTATATTCCGACCCGATAGGACTGGACTGGTCCGACCCAGGACCCCTATATCATGATAGGACTGGTCCGACCCGGGACCCCTAGATCACGATAGGACTGGTCCGACCCGGGGCCCCTATATCACGATAGGACTGGTCCGACCTGGGGCCCCTAGATCACGATAGGACTGGTCCGACCCGGGACCCCTAGATCACGATAGGACTGGTCCGACCCGGGACCCCTAGATCACGATAGGACTGGTCCGACCCGGGACCCCTAGATCACGATAGGACTGGTCCAACCCGGGACCCCTATATCACAATAGGACTGGTCCGACCCGGGGGCCTATATTACAATAGGACTGGTCCAACCAGGGGCCCCTATATCACGATAGGACTGGTCCGACCCAGGGCCCCTATATCACAATAGGACTGGTCCAACCCGGGGCCCCTATATCACGACTAGGTAGGACTGGTCCGATCATGATGCAGGATCACATCAGGACTTCCATATCACGATAGGACTGGTCCGACCAGGATACAGAATCACTCCAGGACTTCCATATCACGATAGGACTGGTCCGATCATGATGCAGGATCACATCAGGACTTCCATATCACGATAGGACTGGTCTGACCACGATACAGGATCACTCCAGGACTTCCATATCACGATAGGACTGGTCTGACCACGATACAGGATCACTCCAGGACTTCCATATCACGATAGGACTGGTCCGACCCAGGGCCTCTATATCACAATAGTACTGGTCCAACCGGGGCCCCTATATCACGATAGGACTGGTCCGACCATGATGCAGGATCACATCAGGACTTCCATATCACGATAGGACTGGTCTGACCACGATACAGGATCACTCCAGGACTTCCATGCTGGTATTTTTATGAAATGATTGTGGATTTCCTGGGAGGGAAGAGTTGGTTTGGTATGTAGCTAGTGGGGAAGGATGGAGAGGCCTCCCAGAGAAGGGAGTATGGGTGTCGGTGCTAACTGCTCAGTGACACCATGGATACACTGGGAGTTGATCCGCACACACACTGAACTGTAGGAAATGGTAGCCCACCTTCTATGATTTTCGGTGGAGCAGTGCTTGCTGGGAGTTGTAGTGATCAGTGCCTCATTACGACATTTAGGTTTGAAGAAATGATTGGTTGGTTCATTCGTCCACATTGTGACAGGTCCTCATTTTTCTACCCAGAATTCCATTCACTCACATGAGAACAATCATTTTATTATGGACTCCTCTACAGACACCAAGCAGGAGACACGGTACCGTGTCATGTGACGCCCTCTACACAGTCACATGACTCATTACCCCATGTAAACAGTTGAGTGCAAAGCCGCTTGTTGCAGCCACTAGAGGGCGCGTTTCTCTTCCAGCGCGCTGTCATTGCCTCCCCGCAGGGGCGCCCGCTCTGTCCTGTTGCTATGGAAACCTCTGGTCTTGCCCCGCCCCCTAGTCTGTGGATGAAAGTCTCTGTGTCCCTCCTCGTCCCTCCATACTCTTCGGGTATCCACACGTGCCCTGCCAGTCCAGCCTCTACCACCCCCCCTCCAGTACTGGCCCTCTCGGTGCTCCCTCTGCACTGGCTGGGCTTTGGCTCGGAGACCCCCCGTGTGAGCACCGGCGACAACCTGCGGTTTGGAGGGAACGGGGGGCAGAGCATGTTCTTGGCATGACGTGGGGCCAGCCTGCTGGGTGGACTCCTGTGTTTCATCTGGCACATAGATGGCGCCATCAGAGGGAGGGGCCTGGAAAGACAGAAAATGGTGAAGGAATACCCTGCTGACCCTCTCCCCCAACAATAGGAGGGAGACCACACGTGCTGCAGACCCCCACCACAGCCCCACGTGCTGCAGACCCCCCACTACAGCCCCACTTCCTGGAGACCCCCCACTACAGCCCCACTTCCTGGAGACCCCCCACCACAGCCCCACGTCCTGCAGACCCCCCCCACCACAGCCCCACTTCCTGCAGACCCCCCACCACAGCCCCACGTCCTGCAGACCCCCCACCACAGCCCCACTTCCTGGAGACCCCCCAAAATACTATCATGCACCCCAAACCTCTAGTAAGTCAATCAAATGCCTTTATACACCCATCACTGAGCAGAGTGGCTCCTCCCACAGCAGGTGCCAAGTGAAGGCAGTCTTCATTGCTTTGTCTATGACGCAATCCATCTCACCTCCTGGATACTGATGAAAAAACGATTTCTTTCAGCCTCCACATCGATGATTCCTCCATTCACCAACTGCCGCTCATAGATCCGCCGCAGATCCTTCTCCCGCTGCAGAGTGCACGTGTCGGGGACATACCGCTCCTGTGTGAGACAGCAAACACATGTGTGTCATATCAGGGGGGGCTGCCTGTGACTTGGGCGGTTACGGGGACCGGAATGTGGCTGGGGCGGGTTACGGGGGACCGGAATGTGGCTGGGGCGGGTTACGGGGGACCGGAATGTGGCTGGGGCGGGTTACGGGGGACCGGAATGTGGCTGGGGCGGGTTACGGGGGACCGGAATGTGGCTGGGGCGGGTTACGGGGGACCGGAATGTGGCTGGGGCGGGTTACGGGGACCGGAATGTGGCTCACGTGGTATACGGGGGACCGGAATGTGGCTGGGGCGGGTTACGGGGGACTGGAATGTGGCTGGGGCGGGTTACGGGGGACCGGAATGTGGCTCACGTGGTATACGGGGGACCGGAATGTGACTCGGGCGGGTTACGGGGACCGGAATGTGGCTGGGGCGGGTTTTGGGGACCTGAATGTGGCTGGGGCGGGTTACGGGGGACCGGAATGTGGCTGGGGCGGGTTACGGGGGACCGGAATGTGGCTCACGTGGTTATACGGGGGACCGGAATGTGGCTCACGTGGTATACGGGGGACCGGAATGTGGCTCACGTGGTATACGGGGACCGGAATGTGACTGGGGGGGTTACGGGGACCGGAATGTGGCTCACGGGTATACGGGGGACCGAAATGTGACTGGGGCGGGTTACGGGGGACCGGAATGTGGCTCACGTGGTATACGGGGGACCGGAATGTGACTCGGGCGGGTTACTGGGACCGGAATGTGACTCGGGCGGGTTACGGGGACCGGAATGTGACTCGGGCGGGTTACGGGGACCGGAATGTGACTCGGGCGGGTTACGGGGACCGGAATGTGACTCGGGCGGGGGGTTACGGGGACCGGAATGTGACTCGGGCGGGTTACGGGGACCGGAATGTGGTATACGGGGGACCGGAATGTGGCTGGGGTGGGTTACAGGGGACCAGAACGTGACTCGGGCGGGTTATGGGGACCGGAATGTGGCTGGGGCGGGTTACGGGGACCGGAATGTGGCTCACGTGGTATACGGGGGACCGGAATGTGGCTCACGTGGTATACGGGGGACCGGAATGTGGCTCACGTGGTATACGGGGGACCGGAATGTGGCTCACGTGGTATACGGGGGACCGGAATGTGGCTCACGTGGTATACGGGGACCGGAATGTGGCTCACGTGGTATACGGGGGACCGGAATGTGGCTCACGTGGTATACGGGGGACCGGAATGTGGCTCACGTGGTATACGGGGGACCGGAATGTGGCTCACGTGGTATACGGGGGACCGGAATGTGGCTCACGTGGTATACGGGGGACCGGAATGTGGCTCACGTGGTATACGGGGGACTGGAATGTGGCTCACGTGGTATACGGGGGACCGGAATGTGGCTCACGTGGTATACGGGGGACCGGAATGTGGCTCATGTGGTATACGGGGGACCGGAATGTGGCTCACGTGGTATACGGGGGACCGGAATGTGGCTCACGTGGTATACGGGGGACCAGAATGTGGCTCACGTGGTATACGGGGGAACCGGAATGTGGCTCACGTGGTATACGGGGGACCGGAATGTGGCTGGGGCGGGTTACGGGGACCGGAATGTGGCTGGGGTGGGTTACGGGGGACCGAAATGTGGCTCACGTGGTATACGGGGGACCGGAATGTGGCTGGGGCGGGTTACCGGAATGTGGCTCACGTGGTATACGGGGGACCGGAATGTGGCTGGGGCGGGTTACCGGAATGTGGCTCACGTGGTATACGGGGGACCGGAATGTGGCTCGGGGGGTTACGGGGGACCGGAATGTGGCTCGGGGGGGGGTTACGGGGGACCGGAATGTGGCTCGGGGGGGTTACGGGGGACCGGAATGTGGCTGGGGTGGTTACGGGGGACCAAAATGTGGCTGGGGTGATTTACGGGGGACCGCCCATGATACAGGATCACTTTAGGACATCTATATCCTGATACAACTGGTTCGATCCAGGACTTCTAGATCAAGACACTACTGATCAGACCATGGCACAGGACTTCTATATCACGATAGGACTGGTCCGACCCGGGACCCTGATATCACGATAGGACTGGTTGACCCGGGGCCTTATATATCACGATAGGACTGGTCCGACCCGGGGGACCCCTATATCACGATAGGACTGGTCCGACCCGGGGACCCCTATATCACGATAGGACTGGTCTGACCCGGGGCCCCTATATCACGATAGGACTGGTCCGACCCGGGGTCCCTATATCACGATAGGACTGGTCCAACCCGGGGCCCCTATATCACGATAGGAGTGGTCCGTCCCAGGGCCCCTATATCACGATAGGACTGGTCCGACCCGGGGCCCCTATATCACGATACGACTGGTCCGACCCAGGACCCCTATATCACGATAGGACTGGTCCGACCCAGGACCCCTAGATCACGATAGGACTGGTCCGACCCAGGACCCCTAGATCACGATAGGACCTGCCTGTGGCTGGGGTGGTTACAGGGAACCTGCCTGTGACTGGAGTGGTTTACGGGGGACCTGCCTGTGGCTGGGGTGGTGGTTACGGGGGACCTACCTGTGGCTGGGGTGGTGGTTACGGGGGACCTACCTGTGGCTGGGGTGGTGGTTACGGGGGACCTACCTGTGGCTGGGGTGGTGGTTACGGGGGACCTACCTGTGGCTGGGGTGGTGGTTACGGGGGACCTACCTGTGGCTGGGGTGGTGGTTACGGGGGACCTACCTGTGGCTGGGGTGGTGGTTACGGGGGACCTACCTGTGGCTGGGGTGGTGGTTACGGGGGACCTACCTGTGGCTGGGGTGGTGGTTACGGGGGACCTACCTGTGGCTGGGGTGGTGGTACCTACCATACCAATATGTAATGTGCAAGTGCCTAGCTGTAGCTGGGGTGGTGCAATATGGGGGGACCCAGCCTGTGAGCGATGCATTATATGGGGTACCTACCTATAGCTGGTGACCTACCCATATAAGGAGAAAAATCCCTAGTGTAGCTGGTGTGCTATACGGGGGTACTTACCTGTGGCTGGTATGCATTATACGGGGGTACCTACTTACCTGTGGTGGTATGCTATACGGGGGTACTTACCTGTGGCTGGTATGCTATACGGGGGTACTTACCTGTGGCTGGTATGCTATACGGGGGTACTTACCTGTGCTGGTATGCTATACGGGGGTACTTACCTGTGGCTGGTATGCTATACGGGGGTACTTACCTGTGGCTGGTATGCTATACGGGGGTACTTACCTGTGGTTGGGATAGTATATGTGGATGGTGTGGCATATGCGGTACATTGCTGATAATTATACAGGAAGAACCTACCTGTGGATGCTTTATTATATGGAGGGGGGGCACCTTCTCATCGCTGATATATATATATGGGGGTACCTACCCATGATGGCTGGTGTGTAATATGGGGGTACCTACCCATGGCTGGTAATATGGGGGTACCTACCCATGATGGCTGGTGTGTAATATGGGGGTACCTACCCATGATGGCTGGTGTGTAATATGGGGGTACCTACCCATGGCTGGTAATATGGGGGTACCTACCCATGGCTGGTAATATGGGGGTACCTACCCATGGCTGGTAATATGGGGGGTACCTACCCATGGCTGGTGTGTAATATGGGGGGTACCTACCCATGGCTGGTGTGTAATATGGGGGGTACCTACCCATGGCTGGTGTGTAATATGGGGGGTACCTACCCATGGATGGTGTGTAATAAGGGGGTACCTACCCATGGATGTGTAATATGGGGGTACCTAGTGGTGTGTAATAATGGGGGGTACCTACCCATGGATGGTGTGTAATATGGGGGTACCTACCCATGGCTGGTGTGTAATATGGGGGTACCTACCCATGGCTGGTGTGTAATAAGGGGGTACCTACCCATGGCTGGTGTGTAATATGGGGGTACCTACCCATGGCTGGTGTGTAATATGGGGGTACCTACCCATGGCTGGTGTGTAATATGGGGGTACCTACCCATGGATGTTGTGTAATATGGGGGTACCTACCCATGGATGTTGTGTAATATGGGGGTACCTACCCATGGATGTTGTGTAATTTGGGGGTACCTACCCATGGATGTTTGTGTAATTTGGGGGTACCTACCCATGGATGTTGTGTAATTTGGGGGTACCTACCCATGGATGTTGTGTAATTTGGGGGTACCTACCCATGGATGTTGTGTAATTTGGGGGTACCTACCCATGGCTGGTGTGTAATTTGGGGGTACCTACCCAAGGTGTATTTGTGTACCTACCAGTGACTGGCGTGTAATTTGAAGGTACTGACCTGTGACTGGTGAGAGAAGAATATGATACAGGAACATAATCCGGGACTACTTACCTCCGGCTGCTGAGGGGGCGGGGCTTCTTGCAGTTTGGTGAAGTCACAGGTCAGATTTTCCCGACATACCGGACACAAAACAAACGAGTTCTAAAAGAAGGAAAATGAGGATCAGAAGGTGACCACACGGGTGTCACCATGGAGCCACTTCCCTTCTCACTCTGGAACATCCATCTTCCATAGAGATCCAAGGAGGGGAACATCCATGACATAGAACACCAAATGAACAAACAACATGGAGGTGTGAAGGGGCCCAGACAGACGTTCTAGATAATATAGAGGGGTGAGAGGAGGCAGAAGATACACAGAGGGTTCTAGATCATACAGAGGGGTGAGAGGAGGCAGAGGATACACAGAGGGTTCTAGATAATATAGAGGGGTGAGAGGAGGCAGAAGATACACAGAGGGTTCTAGATAATAGAGGGGTGAGAGGAGGCAGAAAATACAGAGAGGGTTCTAGATAATAGAGGGGGGGAGAGGAGGCAGAAAATACACAGAGGGTTCTAGATATATAGAGGGGTGAGAGGAGGCAGAAATACAGAGAGGGTTCTAGATCATACAGGGGGGGGAGAGGAGGCAGAAGATACACAGAGGGTTCTAGATCATACAGAGGGAGGGAGAGAGGCAGAAGATACAGAGAGGGTTCTAGATAATACAGGGGGGTGAGAGGAGGCAGAAGATACACAGAGGGTTCTAGATCATACAGGGGGGTGAGAGGAGGCAGAAGATACACAGAGGGTTCTAGATCATACAGGGGGGGTGAGAGGAGGCAGAAGATACAGAGAGGGTTCTAGATAATACAGGGGGGTGAGAGGAGGCAGAAGATACAGAGAGGGTTCTAGATAATACAGGGGGGTGCGAGGAGGCAGAAGATACACAGAGGGTTCTAGATCATACAGGGGGGTGAGAGGAGGCAGAAGATACACAGAGGGTTCTAGATCATACAGGGGGGGTGAGAGGAGGCAGAAGATACACAGAGGGTTCTAGATAATATAAAGGGGGGTGAGAGGAGGCAGAAGATACACAGAGGGTTCTAGATCATACAGGGGGGGGTGAGAGGAGGCAGAAGATACACAGAGGGTTCTAGATCATACAGGGGGGTGAGAGGAGGCAGAAGATACACAGAGGGTTCTAGATCATACAGGGGGGTGAGAGGAGGCAGAAGATACACAGAGGGTTCTATAAATATAGAGGGGTGAGAGAGGCAGAAGATACAGAGGGTTCTAGATCATACAGGGGGGTGAGAGGAGGCAGAAGATACACAGAGGGTTCTAGAATCCCCTTCCTGTGAGATACATGAAAGTACACAGAGGGTTCTAGAGAACCTATCACAGTGAGAGGAGGCAGAAGATACACAGAGGGTTCTAGAAATACAGGGGGGTAACGAGGAGGCAGAAGATACACAGAGGGTTCTTAGATCTATGGGGGGTGAGAGGAGGCAGAAGATACACGGGGGTTCTAGATCATACAGGGGGGTGAGAGGAGGCAGAAGATACACAGAGGGTTCTAGATCATACAGGGGGAGAGAGGAGGCAGAAGACACAGAGCCGTTCTAGATCATACAGGGGGGAGAGAGGAGGCAGAAGATACACAGAGGGTTCTAGAAACAAGTCGGTACCTCTTCCGGGTTCTCTTCCAGGCAGTGCTTGGCATATCGTCCCAGGCAGTGTGAATGATGGAAGTGATGAAAAACACGGGGTCTTGGTGAGGGAATCCCCTTCCTGTGAGATACATGAAAGTCACATGACTGCCAGAGAACCTATCACAGCGGGGGAGGTCAGTACACCCTGCAGCACTTACCTGGAAGCCGTACAGGCAGATAACACAGTGACCCCGAGGAATATTACTGGCCGTCAGCATCTCCTTCCCCTTCTATGGGGACACAAGATAAAGGAGACCTTGTAAGTGTGAGCCGGGGGACAACTTCACCCTGATTGGACGGAAGACTCACCTCAATCAGTTCATAGAGAAGAGGACCGCCCACTGACTGCTGCGCTGCCGTCCTATGCAAGATGTCGGTGATACTGCGGGAGACGAGGAAGGCCGAGGTTACATCTGATACATGGAAGATTGGTCTGTGTATGCTACACCATTCCCACCTCCACAGAGACATTGTTCCTTTGTATCTCCCGCCTGATCCATGTTTATAAACAATGTTCCTTTGTATCTCCCGCCTGATCCATGTTTATAAACAATGTTCCTTTGTATCTCCCGCCCCCTGATCACATGTTTTATAAACAATGTTACTTTGTATCTCCCACCTGATCGATGTTTATAAACAATGTTACTTTGTATCTCCCGTCTGATCCATGTTTATAAACAATGTTACTTTGTATCTCCCGCCTGATCGATGTTTATAGAACAATGTTACTTTGTATCTCCCGCCTGATCGATGTTTATAAACAATGTTACTTTGTATCTATCTCCCCCCTGATCGATGTTTATAAACAATGTTACTTTGTATCTCCCGCCTGATCGATGTTTATAAACAATGTTACTTTGTATCTCCCACCTGATCGATGTTTATAAACAATGTTACTTTGTATCTCCCGCCTGATCGATGTTTATAAACAATGTTACTTTGTATCTCCCGCCTGATCGATGTTTATAAACAATGTTACTTTGTATCTCTCATCCCCCCGCCTGATCGATGTTTATAAACAATGTTACTTTGTATCTCTATCTCCCGTCTGATCGATGTTTATAAACAATGTTACTTTGTATCTCTCTATCTCCCATCTGATCGATGTTTATAAAAACAATGTTACTTTGTATCTCCCGTCTGATCGATGTATATAAACAATGTTACTTTGTATCTCCCGCCTGATCGATGTTTATAAACAATGTTACTTTGTATCTCCCATCTGATGGTCTGATCGATGTTTATAAACAATGTTACTTTGTATCTCCCGTCTGATCGATGTTTATAAACAATGTTACTTTGTATCTCTCCATCCCCCGTCTGATCGATGTATATAAACAATGTTACTTTGTATCTCTCCATCTCCCATCTGATCGATGTTTATAAACAATGTTACTTTGTATCTCCCACCTGATCGATGTTTATAAACAATGTTACTTTGTATCTCTCTATCTCCCGTCTGATCGATGTTTATATAAACAATGTTACTTTGTATCTCTCCATCTCCCATCTGATCGATGTTTATAAACAATGTTACTTTGTATCTCCCGTCTGATCGATGTTTATAAACAATGTTACTTTGTATCTCTCTATCTCCCGTCTGATCGATGTTTATAAACAATGTTACTTTACTTTGTATCTCTCTATCTCCCGTCTGATCGATGTTTATAAACAATGTTACTTTGTATCTCTCCATCTCCCGTCTGATCGATGTTTATAAACAATGTTACTTTGTATCTCCCGCCTGATCGATGTTTATAAACAATGTTACTTTGTATCTCTCTATCTCCCGTCTGATCGATGTTTATAAACAATGTTACTTTGTATCTCTCTATCTCCCGTCTGATCGATGTTTATAAACAATGTTACTTTGTATCTCTCCATCTCCCGTCTGATCGATGTTTATAAACAATGTTACTTTGTATCTCTCTATCTCCCGTCTGATCGATGTTTATAAACAATGTTACTTTGTATCTCCCGCCTGATCGATGTTTATAAACAATGTTACTTTGTATCTCTCTATCTCCCGTCTGATCGATGTTTATAAACAATGTTACTTTGTATCTCTCTATCTCCCGTCTGATCGATGTTTATAAACAATGTTACTTTGTATCTCTCTATCTCCCGTCTGATCGATGTTTTATAAACAATGTTACTTTGTATCTCTCTATCTCCCGTCTGATCGATGTTTATAAACAATGTTACTTTGTATCTCTCTATCTCCCGTCTGATCGATGTTTATAAACAATGTTACTTTGTATCTCTCTATCCCCCGTCTGATCGATGTTTATAAACAATGTTACTTTGTATCTCTCCATCTCCCGTCTGATCGATGTTTATAAACAATGTTACTTTGTATCTCTCTATCCCCCGTCTGATCGATGTTTATAAACAATGTTACTTTGTATCTCTCTATCCCCCGTCTGATCGATGTTTATAAACAATGTTACTTTGTATCTCTATCTCCCGTCTGATCGATGTTTATAAACAATGTTACTTTGTATCTCTCCATCTCCCGTCTGATCGATGTTTATAAACAATGTTACTTTGTATCTCTCTATCTCCATCTGATCGATGTTTATAAACAATGTTACTTTGTATCTCTCAAACACAGGAAGAAGAGGCCAGGGCCCCTCCTACACCTGGCACAGGGCCCCCTACCTGTGAATCTGTTTATCAAACAGGCCCCGAGGGTTGGTCACACTGATCTCAGGGGGGTCGTCAGGATACTGGAGAGAAGAGAGAAGGAAATGAGGATCTGTATGTCTGTGTGGGGGTCATCTGACCGATCCCGGGAGACGATCGTCCTCAGCACCGTATACAACCTTATGGTACAGTATGACTACATCAACTGGACAGGACGGGGCCCCGGACCGGAGCTGCCACCAGAAATACTGGACATGACTCCCCCGGACCGGAGCTGCCACCAGAAATACTGGACATGTTCCCCCCGGACCGGAGCTGCCACCAAAATATGGACATGACGGGATCCCCGGACCGGAGCTGCCACCAGAAATACTGGACATGACGGGACCCCGGACCGGAGTTTGCCACCAGAAATACTGGACATGACGGGACCCCCGGACCGGAGCTGCCACCAGAAATACTGACATGACGGGACCCCGGACCGAGCTGCCACCAGAAATACTGGACATGACGGGACCCCGGACCGGAGCTGCCACCAAAATACTGGACATGTTGGGGCCCCGGATCGAGCTACCACCAGAATGTTACTGGACATGACGGGATCCCCGGACCGGAGCTGCCACCAGAAATACTGGACATGACGGGACCCCGGACCGGAGCTGCCACCAGAAATACTGGACATGACGGGACCCCGGACCGGAGCTGCCACCAGAAATACTGGACATGACGGGACCCGGACCGGAGCTGCCACCAGAAATACTGGACATGACGGGACCCCGGACCGGAGCTGCCACCAGAAATACTGGACATGTTCTATCCCCCGGACCGAGCTACCACCAGAAATACTGGACATGACGGGACCCCGGACCGGAGCTGCCACCAGATGTTTACTGGACATGACGGGACCCCGGACCGGAGCTGCCACCAGAAATACTGGACATGACGGGACCCCGGACCGGAGCTGCCACCAGAAATACTGGACATGTTGGGGCCCGGACCGGAGCTACCACCAGAAATACTGGACATGTTGGGGCCCCGGACCGGAGCTGCCACCAGAAATACTGGGACATGTTCAGGGGGGCCCGGACCGGAGCTGCCACCAGAAATACTGGACATGTTGGGGAAATGACCGGAGCTGCCACCAGAAATACTGGACATGACGGGGGTCCCCGGACCGGAGCTGCCACCAGAAATACTGGACATGACGGGGCCCCGGACCGGAGCTGCCACCAGAAATACTGGAGAATGTTGGGGCCCCGGACCGGAGCTGCCACCAGAAATACTGGACATGACGGGGCCCCGGACCGGAGCTGCCACCAGAAATACTGGACATGACGGGGCCCCGGACCGGAGCTGCCACCAGAAATACTGGACATGACGAGACCCCGGACCGGAGCTGCCACCAGAAATACTGGACATGACGGGGCCCCGGACCGGAGCTGCCACCAGAAATACTGGACATGACGGGGCCCCGGACCGGAGCTGCCACCAGAAATACTTGACATGTTGGGGCCCCGGACCGGAGCTGCCACCAGAAATACTGGACATGACGGGACCCCGGACCGGAGCTGCCACCAGAAATACTGGACATGACGGGGCCCCGGACCGGAGCTGCCACCAGAAATACTGGACATGTTGGGGCCCCGGACCGGAGCTGCCACCAGAAATACTGGACATGACGGGGCCCCGGACCGGAGCTACCACCAGAAATACTGGACATGACGGGGCCCCGGACCGGAGCTGCCACCAGAAATACTGGACATGACGAGACCCCGGACCGGAGCTGCCACCAGAAATACTGGACATGTTGGGGCCCCGGACCGGAGCTGCCACCAGAAATACTGGACATGTTGGGGCCCCGGAGCTGCCATTGCAGTGTACACAGCATGCAGAAGTCACATGACCTGACCTGAGGTGGGAGGGACAGATGCAGGGTGAGGCGGACATATTGACTTTCAGCATCATCTCCGGTTGCAGGATGTAAAGTGATCCTCAGCTCCACCCTGTAAGACCAATCACAAATAAGAGGCGGTCTTCCTCCATCAGGGGGCGGAGTTATGTGGGAGCAGTAGCGGATCCTTACCTGTCACCCCGAGAGATCTCCAATTCCTCCAGGTAGATGGACTGCAGAACCTGCAGCTCCTGGCACACCGAGCTGCAATGAGAAGTCAGTGTGAGAGACCGCGGGTGTGCGCGGGGCCCATAGGGTGTACGCGGGGCCCATAGGGTGTACGCGGGGCCCATAGGGTGTACGCGGGGCCCATAGGGTGTACGCGGGGCCCATAGGGTGTACGCGGGGCCCATAGGGTGTACGCGGGGCCCATAGGGTGTACGCGGGGCCCATAGGGTGTACGCGGGGCCCATAGGGTGTACGCGGGGCCCATAGGGGTGTACGCGGGGGCCCATAGGGTGTACGCGGGGCCCACGCGGGGCCCATAGGGTGTACGCGGGGGCCCATAGGGTGTACGCGGGGCCCATAGGGTGTACGCGGGGCCCATAGGGTGTACGCGGGGCCCATAGGGTGTACGCGGGGCCCATAGGGTGTACGCGGGGCCCATAGGGTGTACGCGGGGCCCATAGGGTGTACGCGGGGCCCATAGGGTGTACGCGGGGGCCCATAGGGTGTACGGGGGCCCATAGGGTGTACGCGGGGCCCATAGGGTGTACGCGGGGCCCATAGGGTGTACGCGGGCCCATAGGGTGTACGCGGGGCCCATAGGGTGTACGCGGGGCCCATAGGGTGTACGGGGGGCCCATAGGGTGTACGCGGGGCCCATAGGGTGTACGCGGGGCCCATAGGGTGTACGCGGGGCCCATAGGGTGTGTACGCGGGGCCCATAGGGTGTACGCGGGGCCCATAGGGTGTACGCGGGGCCCATAGGGTGTACGCGGGGCCCATAGGGTGTACGCGGGGCCCATAGGGTGTACGCGGGGCCCATAGGGTGTACGCGGGGCCCATAGGGTGTACGCGGGGCCCATAGGGTGTACGCGGGGCCCATAGGGGTGTACGCGGGGCCCATAGGGTGTACATAGGGTGGGGCCCATAGGGTGTACGCGGGGCCCATAGGGTGTACGCGGGGCCCATAGGGTGTACGCGGGGCCCATAGGGTGTACGCGGGGCCCATAGGGTGTACGCGGGGCCCATAGGGTGTACGCGGGCCCATAGGGTGTACGCGGGGCCCATAGGGTGTACGCGGGGCCCATAGGGTGTACGCGGGGCCCATAGGGTGTACGCGGGGCCCATAGGGTGTACGCGGGGCCCATACGGGGTGTACGCGGGGCCCATAGGGTGTACGCGGGGCCCATAGGGTGTACGCGGGGCCCATAGGGTGTACGCGGGGCCCATAGGGTGTACGCGGGGCCCATAGGGTGTACGCGGGGCCCATAGGGTGTACGCGGGGCCCATAGGGTGTACGCGGGGCCCATAGGGTGTACGCGGGGCCCATATACGCGGGGCCCATAGGGTGTACGCGGGGCCCATAGGGTGTACGCGGGGGGTGTACGCGGGGGCCCATAGGGTGTACGCGGGGTGGGCGGGGCCCATAGGGTGTACGCGGGGTGGGCGGGGCCCATAGGGTGTACGCGGGGTGTAGGGTATATAGGGGGATATACAGTGGGGGGATGGAAAGTTTGGGCCCCCCAGCTACAAATGTGTATTAATGTGCATAAAGAAGCCAAGGAAAGATGGAAAAATCTGCAAAAGGCATCAAATTCCAGATTAGACATTTCAGCAAATTTTGGATGGTAACTTGATGCCATCTGTGAAAAAGCTGAAGTTAAAGAGAGGATGGCTTCTACAAATGGATAATGATCCTAAACACACCTGGAAATCCACGGGGGATGACATCAAGAGGCGTAAACTGAAGGTTTTGCCTTCACAATCTCCTGACCTCAACATCATTGAAAATCTATGGATAGACCTTAAAAGAGCCGTGCGTGACAGACAGCCCAGAAATCTCAAAGAACTGGAAGACTTTTGTAAGGAAGAATGGGCAAAGATACCTCAAACAAGAACTGAAAGACTCTTGGCTGGCTACAAAAAGCGTTTACAAGCCGTGATACTTGCCAAAGGGGGCAGTACAAGATATTAACTCTGCAGGGGGCCCAAACTTTTGCAGACGCCATTTTTTTGTTTTCTGTTATTTTGAAAGTGTAAATGATGGAAATAAAATCTAACTTTTGTTGACATATTATAAGAATGTCTAATCTGTAATTTGATGCCTTTTGGAGATTTTTCCATCTTTCCTTGGCTTCTTTATGCACATTAATACACATTTGTAGCTGGGGGGCCCAAACTTTCCATCCCCACTGTATGTAGGGTGTATATGGGGTGTAGGGTGTATACGGGGTGTAGGGTGTATATAGGGTGTATACGGGGTGTAAGGTATATGGGGTGTAGGGTGTATATAGGGTGTAGGGTGTATATGGGGTGTAGGGTGTATACGGGGTGTAGGGTGTATAGGGTGTATACGGGGTGTAAGGTATATGGGGTGTAGGGTGTATATGGGGTGTATACGGGGTGTAAGGTATATGGGGTGTAGGGTGTATATGGGGTGTAAGGTATATGGGGTGTAGGGTGTATATGGGGTGTAGGGTGTATACGGGGTGTAGGGTGTATAGGGTGTATACGGGGTGTAAGGTATATGGGGTGTATATGGAGTGTAGGGTATATAGGGTGTATACGGGGTGTAGGGTGTATAGGGTGTATACGGGGTGTAAGGTATATGGGGTGTATATGGAGTGTAGGGTATATAGGGTGTAAGATATATACAGGGTGTCGGGTATATAGGGTGTATATAGGGTGTAAGATATATACAGGGTGTCGGGTATATACGGGGTGTAGGGTATATAGGGTGTATACGGGGTGTATATGGAGTGTAGGGTGTATACGGGGTGTATAGAAGATCTCCCCTTCCTGTCCTTCTCCCCTCTCACCCCTCTTCCTGATCCTCCTCCGCCATCACCGCTCACCGGAAGTGACGTCACCCATCACACCGCCCCTTCAGAACGGTTCATTATTTTTTCTCCTGACGGTAAAAGGAAGTGACGTCAGGTCGGCGCCTTGTCACCAGGACAACCGGAATAACCGGAAGTGATCGTTGCGCTGCCCGGACAGCGGAGAGGGAGCCACAGCCGGGTGAGTGAGAGGAGCCCAATCCGGGTGTGCTCCCTCCCCCCTGTATGGTCCCAGGGCCCCCACCCCCCTCTATGGTCCCAGTGTCCCCCTCCCCCCTCTATGGTCCCAGTGCCCCCTCCCCCCTGTATGGTCCCAGGGCCCCCACCCCCCTCTATAGTCCCAGGGCCCCCTCTATGGTGCCAGGGCCCCCTCCCCCTGTATGGTCCCAGTGTCCCCTCTATGGTCCCAGTTCCCCCTCCCCCCTCTATGGTCCCAGTGCCCCCTCCCCCTCTATGGTCCCAATGTCCCCTCTATAGTCCCAGGGCCCCCTCCCCCTCTATGGTCCCAGGGCCCCCTCTATGGTCCCAGGGCCCCCTCTATGGTCCCAGTGCCCCCTCTATGGTCCCAGAGCCCCCTCGACCCTCTATGGTCCCAGTGTCCCCTCTATGGTGCCAGGGCCCCCTCCCCCGTGTATGGTCCCAGGGCCCCCTGTATGGTCCCAGTGACCCTCTATGGTCCCAGTGCCCCCACCCCCTCTATGGTCCCAGGGCCCCCTCTTCGCACTGCTCCCGGGCCCCATAGCCTCACTTTGTTGGCTGCACGTTGTTTAGTGTTGTGTGTTTGGTCTCTTCCAGGATGGAGAAATATCACGTCTTGGATCTGATTGGAGAAGGATCTTTCGGGAGAGTTTATAAGGGGAGGAGACGGCACAGCGGAGAGGTGACCCCATATCATTCTAATCCTATATGAGCCCCTGGCGGGGAGGTAGGTAGGCGGCCCCCCATAACGTCCTGCTTGATGGTGTCCTGGCCAGCTCCGAAGGAAGACGTCCCATGAGGGAGATGAGGAACATGTGGTGTCCTGGCCAGCTCCGAAGGAAGACGTCCCATGAGGGAGATGAGGAACATGTGGTGTCCTGGCCAGCTCCGAAGGAAGACGTCCCATGAGGGAGATGAGGAACATGTGGTGTCCTGGCCAGCTCCGAAGGAAGACGTCCCATGAGGGAGATGAGGAACATGTGGTGTCCTGGCCAGCTCCGAAGGAAGGCGTCCCATGATTGAGATGAGGAACATGTGGTGTCCTGGCCAGCTCCGAAGGAAGACGTCCCATGAGGGAGATGAGGAACATGTGGTGTCCTGGCCAGCTCCGAAGGAAGACGTCCCATGAGGGAGATGAGGAACATGTGGTGTCCTGGCCAGCTCCGAAGGAAGACGTCCCATGAGGGAGATGAGGAACATGTGGTGTCCTGGCCAGCTCCGAAGGAAGACGTCCCATGAGGGAGATGAGGAACATGTGGTGTCCTGGCCAGCTCCGAAGGAAGACGTCCCATGAGGGAGATGAGGAACATGTGGTGTCCTGGCCAGCTCCGAAGGAAGACGTCCCATGAGGGAGATGAGGAACATGTGGTGTCCTGGCCAGCTCCGAAGGAAGACGTCCCATGAGGGAGATGAGGAACATGTGGTGTCCTGGCCAGCTCCGAAGGAAGACGTCCCATGAGGGAGATGAGGAACATGTGGTGTCCTGGCCAGCTCCGAAGGAAGACGTCCCATGAGGGAGATGAGGAACATGTGGTGTCCTGGCCAGCTCCGAAGGAAGACGTCCCATGAGGGAGATGAGGAACATGTGGTGTCCTGGCCAGCTCCGAAGGAAGACGTCCCATGAGGGAGATGAGGAACATGTGGTGTCCTGGCCAGCTCCGAAGGAAGACGTCCCATGAGGGAGATGAGGAACATGTGGTGTCCTGGCCAGCTCCGAAGGAAGACGTCCCATGAGGGAGATGAGGAACATGTGGTGTCCTGGCCAGCTCCGAAGGAAGACGTCCCATGAGGGAGATGAGGAACATGTGGTGTCCTGGCCAGCTCCGAAGGAAGACGTCCCATGAAGGAGATGAGGAACATGTGGCTGAAGAAAAATAACAAAAAAAGGTTCCACTTTTCTCTGAAGCACAGAAGCATGCTGGGAGTGGGAGGGGTCATAGTGACCAATCCTCCTGTAGGTGGCAGTATAAACCAACAGCTCCGAATTCCTGAGCCCCTCAATACTCAAGAAAGAAAAGAGAATGTTGTCTGTTCATGAAGTCTCTGCTCAGGTGGTGTCTCTTCACAGGAGCAGAATCTGCAGTCAAGACAAGCTCCTCCCCCTCCTGTATGACACCGGTTCTCCTCCTCCTCCCCCTCCTGTATGACGCCGGTTCTCCTCCCCCCTCCTGTATGACGCCGGTTCTCCTCCCCCTCCTGTATGACGCCGGTTCTCCTCCCCCTCCTGTATGACGCCGGTTCTCCTCCCCCTCCTGTATGACGCCGGTTCTCCTCCCCCTCCTGTATGACGCCGGTTCTCCTCCCCCTCCTGTATGACGCCGGTTCTCCTCCCCTCCTGTATGACGCCGGTTTCTCCTCCTCCTCCTGTATGACGCCGGTTCTCCTCCTCCTCCCCCTCCTGTATGACGCCGGTTCTCCTCCTCCTCCTCCCCCTCCTGTATGACGCCGGTTCTCCTCCCCCTCCTGTATGACGCCGGTTCTCCTCCCCCTCCTGTATGACGCCGGTTCTCCTCCTCCTCCCCCTCCTGTATGACGCCGGTTCTCCTCCTCCTCCCCCTCCTGTATGACGCCGGTTCTCCTCCTCCTCCCCCTCCTGTATGACGCCGGTTCTCCTCCTCCTCCCCCTCCTGTATGACGCCGGTCTTCTCTCTTCTCAGGTTGTGGCCCTGAAGTTCATTCCTAAAGTGGGCAGATCAGAGAAGGAGCTCCGAGGTCTGAAGAGGGAGATCCAGATTATGAGAGACTTGTTTCACCCCAACATTGTGCGCATGCTGGACAGCTGTGAGACTGAGCGAGAGGTGAGAAACAGCCTAACACTGTGCGCATGCTGGAGAGGTAAGAGACACCCCAACACTGTGCGCATGCTGGAGAGGTAAGAGACACCCCAACACTGTGCGCATGCTGGAGAGGTAAGAGACACCCCAACACTGTGCGCATGCTGGAGAGGTAAGAGACACCCCAACACTGTGCGCATGCTGGACAGCTGATCCTGTCTGTCCTTCTCTGGTCAGGTGGTGGTTGTGACGGAGTACGCAGAGGGAGAATTGTTCCAGATCCTGGAAGATGATGGGAATCTGTCGGAGGATCTGGTAAGAGACGCTGTCCTCGATCTGTCTGTGATTGGTCCTTTGGCTGAGCTGTGCAGGGTGACCGCTGTCTCTGTGTAGGTGCGGGATGTCTCTGCACAGCTGGTGTCGGCTCTCTATTACCTCCATTCTCATCGCATCCTCCACCGAGACATGAAACCTCAGAACATTCTACTGGGGAAGGACGGGACCATCAAACTCTGCGACTTCGGGTGAGTCTGAACCCTCTGTCCAATGGGGACCCCCATAGATCTTCTACAGTGTAATACAGACATGGTGACCCCCTTAGGTCTTCTACAGTGTGATACAGAGATGGTGACCCCCATAGATCTTCTACAGTGTGATACAGAGATGGTGACCCCCATAGATCTTCTACAGTGTGATACAGAGATGGTGACCCCCATAGATCTTCTACAATGTGATACAGAGATGGTGACCCCCTTAGGTCTTCTACAGTGTGATACAGACATGGTGACCCCCTTAGGTCTTCTACAGTGTGATACAGAGATGGAGACCCCATAGGTCTTCTACAGTGTGATACAGAGATGGTGACCGCCATAGATCTTCTCCAATGTGATACAGAGATGGTGACCCCCATAGATCTTCTACAGTGTGATACAGAGATGGTGACCCCCATAGGTCTTCTACAGTGTGATACAGAGATGGTGACCCCCATAGGTCTTCTACAGTGTGATACAGAGATGGTGACCCCCATAGGTCTTCTACAGTGTGATACAGAGATGGTGACCCCCATAGGTCTTCTACAGTGTGATACAGACATGGTGACCCCCATAGATCTTCTCCAATGTGATACAGAGATGGTGACCCCCATAGATCTTCTACAGTGTGATAGAGAGATGGTGACCCCCATAGATCTTCTACAGTGTGATACAGAGATGGTGACCCCCATAGGTCTTCTACAGTGTGATACAGAGATGGTGACCCCCATAGGTCTTCTACAGAGTGATACAGAGATGGAGACCCCATAGGTCTTCTACAGTGTGATACAGAGATGGTGACCCCCATAGGTCTTCTACAGTGTGATACAGAGATGGTGACCCCCATAGATCTTCTACAGTGTGATACAGACATGGTGACCCCCATAGATCTTCTACAGTGTAATACAGAGATGGTGACCCCCATAGATCTTCTCCAATGTAATACAGAGATGGTGACCCCCATAGGTCTTCTACAGTGTGTTACAGAGATGGTGACCCCATAGATCTTCTACAGTGTGATACAGAGATGGTGACCCCCATAGATCTTCTACAGTATGATGCAGAGATGGTGACCCCCATAGATCTTCTACAGTATGATACAGAGATGGTGACCCCCATAGGTCTTCTACAGTGTGATACAGACATGGTGACCCCCATAGATCTTCTACAGTGTGATACAGAGATGGTGACCCCCATAGGTCTTCTACAATGTAATACAGAGATGGTGACCCCCATAGATCTTCTACAGTGTGATACAGACATGGTGACCCCCATAGATCTTCTACAGTGTGATACAGACATGGTGACCCCCATAGATCTTCTACAGTGTGATACAGACATGGTGACCCCCATAGATCTTCTACAGTGTGATACAGACATGGTGACCCCCATAGATCTTCTCCAATGTAATACATACAGTGGTGTGTTCTATGTACACACAGACCCCCCCCATGACCCCATGTCCCTTCCTTGTGCAGGTTTTGCCCGGGAGCTGAGTTTGGA